TCTTTGGTGAATGGATTTAGCACGTAGTTTGTTTCCATTTTTTAAAGTTTTTTATCGTTGTTCGTGCATCCTAGAAACTTACAGTTTTTTTCTGACCCTCCCATGATCATAAAAACATTGAAACTATAACACTAGTTAAAATTATGGTATAAAATTTTGATCAAAACAATATTACACTGACGAAAGATTTCCACTCGATTATCGATACACGTTGCCCCCCGGTAATGGCGGCCGTGAGCGCGCCGCCTACGGCGAAGGGGTAATTCATCTGCTTCTCGGATTCGTCTATAATAGGTATCCTCGGGGGAGCTACGTCACATTCGTTCTACGTTGCTAAGACGCGCATCACTGTACCACGTAATTTTATGAGCGTTGTGCGCGCTGCTGTGGAACGCCGGTGGAGCCGGTGAAAAATCGAGAAAACAACACAAACTCAACTTTGAAGTAATCCTGAACAACCAAATTCATATATGTTACACACGTAGGGCTAATCTTGTTACACTGCTCAGGGGACTCAATCAATCATCGCAAAGTACCGTTTTCTGCGAGTTTTTGATCTTTGTTTTCACCGTGATGGTTGCCAGGCGGTAGAAAATGCCCGGATGTCCGCCCCCGAGGATATGTATTATTATTTCAACTCCCATATTATGTTATGATGGATTCTTATCGTCGTTGGTGTGGGGTTTATTTTCTCGGATTTGAACTCTAGTTAGTTACAAATTGTAATGTATGTGTTTGCACACAACTTTAACACTGGTAAAGAAGGTGAAAAACGTTAGCTGAGAAAACGTGCGCGAAACCGACTGGTGGCGCTTTAACTTGAAACTCGTCTATGTCATTTCGATATAATATAATCGATCGATTTTTGCGCCAGATGTCGGACCGCGCCTTTCACGGGATACCAGAGATATTGCAGTGAACTAAAAAAAATGAAATAAATAATGAAACACTGACAGTTTTAAACAATCACATTTAATCTATTAGGTATATTATAAAACCCGGTTGCCAAGGGCAGAGCGTCGGGATCCACCTTGGACCACTCGTTCGCTCGTGGTGGCATTGTAATTCGATGACAGTACATCTCTGATAAATGTTTTCCCGGCTTTCTTGGCGTGTGTTATACAGCGTATCCCACTGGCATAATGAGTTGCGACATTGTTTAGCAGCAATTCTGAATGACACTGTGGAATATTAAATGCCATCAATGCCAGGTTTTGTCGGTTTTCTGAGAAATTATGCAATTAATATCGTGTTACAGACAATTTAACATGTTATCATGCATTGTATTTACTCGGATATGACGTCACGACTAGGTCAGAATATCTGTACTCGG